TATACTGGACAGGTTACCAGGAGCGCGCAGTCCCTGGAACAGGGCATCATGCTGGGAGGGTGGGTTAGCAAAGAAAGACCATCAAAGTAATGACAGTGGCTGCAACAGTAGGCTCAACCCTCACGATTTTCAGGCTGTCACCTAGCACACCAGGTCATCTCTCCACATCTTCTCTAGCCTTCAATCGTTTTAATACCTTAATAGTTTCATTAATGAATGAAAATACTTGATAAATGCTCATTTCGTATTTACATGACAGCCCTGCTTTTTTAATCATTTGAACTTGACTCCTCCTCGATGCATTTCACAGTGGTGGGCATGAACACTGACACTGGGTAGTGAGTACCTTGCTGGCAGAACTGTGACTGTCACCATTTTATGCATGCACAAATCAGTGTCTGGTTCCCGTTTTGAATACATATATGTCCAATCAATAAACACTACCTAAGAGATAAATGATTTTTAAGAGGAGTTTGATAACTGGCCATTAAGCATCATTTCTGTTGCTTTAATGAACTTGGACTAGTATCTGTTTACTAAGGGATTCTTTTTTCTTCCCAGTGTGGTAGCGCTAACATATGGCAGAGTTGAAAAGAGTAACATTTTCTGGGATCAGCTGTTTATCAATCCTAAGAGTCAGGCTGAGAGCGGAGTGATTAATCTCAATTGAACACTAGCACAGCTTGTCAGGTTGCTCGTCACTGTGGAAACACTGATAAGCAGCCCTCAGAGGGATGTGCCCAAGTAGGCCACTGTGTGTTGTCACTGTATAATATGAGCAGGAGCAATCGCCTCACGGATGTGTGCCAGTAAGGAAGGAACCGAGTGGAAGGATGAATGGCTTTAGGGAAATCCATCAAGTCTTCGGATATCAATTTGAAGTATATGCTTTACTGACAATGGGTGAAGTCACCAGGACCCCAATTGGCTCTATTTCCCAAATGAAGAGATTCCATTCAAGTCTCCCATTCAGAGTGGTCAAATCAACTTCAGTTTAGGTGCAACATGAGTTTATGGTGTTCCATTAGGGAAATTAAAAAACAGCTGACATTTATTGAAGATTTAACTTCTCTTTCATGGAAGAGATTTCCCGCTAAAAAACTTAACTACAACAGAATCATATTCTAAGTGTAGTTATAAAATGAGTATAAACAAGTCTCTGTTGATTGACTTGTACATCTTAATTACATTAATTATATGTGAGAGCTAATGCTAGCATGGCAGAAGGGCTAAAATAAAATCTCACAGAAATTCATATTAATCCTTTACAATTAAAAAAATCAGCAAGCAAACTGACAGAAAAAAAGTGCTTTATTTGTAATGGCATTTTGTAAACAATCACACTGTGCATTTTTTAACTTTAACAATAACCAAATTTGGTTTCTATGGATTTATAGCAAACTCTATATAAAGCCAATGAGTTAATACAGGAGTATAGATGAACCCAGTGGGATAACTTCTCAAAATATCAAATTATAGCACTTAATACAAAGACTCATAACTATCTGTACCATAAAAATTTACATGCCATAAAACATTATAATTTAAAATAGGCAGTACATTTATTTTTTTTTTAATTAACTAACTTTATTAAAAACCAGTGAATTACTCAGAGGGACATTTATTAAAACTTACTAAAAAATCAGTAAATATTGCAACCGAGGTAAACATTTAGATGTAAACAAAACTATCATTATTCAGGCCCAAACGTAAACATGAGGGTAGACAACATCCTCGACAATTAGGTCTACTCCTTGACGTTCTGAAGCAGCTTCAGTAAATGTGCCTCGATAACCTGTTGAACTAGAGCAGAAACAAATCAAGGTCACTGCGTACTGATTCCCACGCTCTTCAACACACACCGAGCTTAACTTCACATTCCCATCTTCAGCCTAAAACAAATTTATTTCTAAGGTGCATATATTCATAGTCGGAGGGCAATGTGATCCTTACATCAATTTGCAGAGGCTATAATGTAGTCTGCTCCTGACTTCACAGCTTTGTCAATGCCTTGGACTTTCTACGCTTTGCTTTCTACATATGTGATCTGAAGGAGAGCCCCGAGGACAAGGCTGTTCTAAGCGTCAGAAAAGGGCTTATTATAAAGCAATTTACAAATACGCTTTGTCATGGAATATTAAACACATCTTGTAAATAGGCATGTAGTTCCCTAGTGACTACTTATTTGGGTTAGTAAAAAGAGTAACCAGCTCATCTGTAGATATTACAGGAATTTGTGGACTTGACTCATAGTTAAATGCTTATGTCAGGAAGCGGGTTAGCAGACAATGCTTTATGACTACCGATTACGAAAACTGGTCCACTATACTATTTGTAGACCTAAAATAAAAATCTCATGACTTCTAAATTACTTACCACTTCGATAGCCTAGGGCTACAGCTAAATCCATAGAATTATATCCAGAGTCAGTTTCAACCGTTGGGTCAGCTCCATTTTCTATACCGAAATAGAAAGAGCTACATAAATAAAATAGAAGTGTGGATCATGTGCCTATTACTGGCTCATATGTAAATGGATGACCAGGTACTTAGCAAATTTGATGTGTTCAGGATGCTCCAACAAGGTACATTGTGCGTGGGATGCACAGAATTCACCTTGGTGGGTTGGAGGGAAGACACTTGAAACCCAAAGGCATTCTCTAGAGCAGGCAAAACGAATCATCAGTTAAAGACACTGAGGGTAGGAAAACAAATGGAGGCTTCCGATTCAGCTCCCCAAATGAAGGACACGGGGCAGATGTTCCCATTGTGGACGTGATGTGTGATGGCATCCCATCTCCCGTGCCAATGCTGTGGTAGCAGGTGCTCAAAAACTCACTGCCATCAAGTCGACTCTGACTCATAGCAACCTTATATGACAAGCAGAGCTGCCCCTGTGGGTCTCCAACACTGTAAACCTTTACAGGAGTAGAAAGCCTCATCATTCTCCTGTGGTTGGTGCTTTGGGCAGTTAGCAGCATAGTGAATAGAACCTTACGTTACCAGGGCTTCTTGTTTGATGGTTTTGAACTGCTGACCTTGTGATTAGCAGCCAACGCATCGCCCACTATACCCCCAGGGATAAATAGCAGCAGAGATTTATCTCATTTAAAAATGGAGCCCAGGTGGCAGAGTGGTTAAGTACTTAGTGGTTAAAGAGCAAAGTCAGTGGTCTGAGCTACCAGCAAGTCTGAGGGAGAAAACAGGGCAGTCTGCTCACATAGAAACCTTACAGGGCAGGTCTACTCTAGGGGTCAGAATCTGCCAGACGGCAGTGGGTTTGGTTCGGAAGCACAATGGTTAAATGCCTGCCTACTTGGGAGGCAAGTGATTCCAATTCAACGTGTGACCCTGCAGAAGGAAGACATGGCTACCAGCGCCCTACAGCTTACAGTCAAGGAAACCGCAGGGGGCAGTTCTACTCTGTTCCCTGTGCTTTCGGCTCCATTCAACACCACCCAACGGTAACGTTCCTTCTGAGGAATAGCAGGGAAGGCCAGGTTCTAAAAAATTAAAGTCCTCACATAGCATTTCCTAAGTACATCTCACTTTTATGTGCTTACCTAACAGCATTTTTACACATTTCACATGATTCCCATGCACAGCATAAAGCAAAGGTGTCCCTCCATTCTGGGGGGAAAAAAAGCGATACAGAGTGATTCCAGGGTGAGCAAAATTCAAACCATTTAATCCATTTCATGCCTCAGAGTCAAGTTTTACCGTAAACTGGGCTTCAAGAAGTAGTAAAGGATACTTAAATCAAAATAAAAAGTGTTCAACACAATTATATACCTTCAATAGCAATTTAACGAGTGTTATTTTTTAATTTTTATAGAAATTTTAAAATCCATACACTCACCCAGTCATACTCATTGACATCAACTCCACAGTCGAGCAGCATTTTCACAATATCGGTGTAGCCTTTGCTACAGGCCAGTGACAGTGCACTTTCTCGACCTTTGCCTAGAAGTTGAGGATCAGCACCCTAGGGTGAAGAGTGGAGATAAAAGACTTATCAATCCGTTTAAATGTGTGCTTCAGTCCGATAAAGCTCTGAGTTCATAAAAAAACAATGCCAACTCTTATCCAGGGACGGCCCTGTTATCAACATTGACTGGATGCCTTCCTTCTAGCCTCTGTCTACCTGAATTCTGGCATCCTGCTACCCTGGAGTCAAGTCACGCCTCCTCCAGGAAGCCTTCCACAGGGCTGGCTGGACTTTCCTTCCTACTACGTTGGGAGGGGCTGGGCATAAAGTCCTCTCTCACTATTTCATGTCTGATTAGACTTGCTTCCCCAACTAGATTGTGGTTCCAGAGTAAAAAAGAAACATTTGGTAATTTTTTTGGGTATCCTCTATCATGATCTCTAGCTACATTTTCTAGATATGTATCCTCTACCATGATATCTAGACTTGACTGAACTTAAATGACTATATATAGACATTCGCTGAGGCATTTTCCTTACATTCTGAAGTAGAAACTCTACCACAGCTATTTGCCCGTGTGCTGCAGCCCACATCAGAGGAGTAAATCCTTCTTCATCCGTGTGATTGATAACATTTTCTAGTTAAAAGAAAAGCAATTTTTGTGATCTAATTTAACAACCACATATACTATGAAAATACTGGCATTCTAGAACGTTGACTCTATCACTTAATGCTGAATTTTGTTCACTGAAGTTTTGTTGGAATGTATTCAAATGTGCCTCAATTTAAATAGCTGAGTGAAACATCAGGAAAAGGTATGTAACGGTGTCCTATCCTTTGACCACGCCAGTTCAATCTGTATGCTGAACAGATCATCTGAGAAGCTGGACTATAATGAAGAGCATGGCTTCCAGCTGGGAGGAAGGTTCAGTAACACCCTGATCGACTATTACAGCCTTCAGTGTGGATCACACATCCACAGACAGAAAACAAAACTCACAACTGGGCAATGGCAACATCATGATAAATGGAGACAATATTGATGCTGTCAAGGATCTGATTTTCCTTGGATCCATAGGCAACCACCACTGAAGCAGCAATCAAGCAATCAAAATGTACCACATCGCAAAGGTGCTGCAAAAGACCCTTTTTATAAAGCATAAAAAAGCAAACATTTCTGTCCCTGGAGGACTAAGGTGCACTTGATCTAACCTATGGTATTTTCAAGCACCTCCCATGCCTATGTAACTGGATAAAGAACAAGGAAGGGAGGGGGTAGAGGTCTGTGAGAGACTGAGAGAGATAAGACACAGTGGTGCAGAAATAGGCAACAGTTGTTGAGGATGGTGCGGGGCAGTGCAGGGCAGGATTGTGTTAGGTTGTATTGCACCTTAGGCTGCTATGAGTCAGAAATGACTTGACGGCATCCAACAACATACATCATATTATTTATAAGCATAAACTGTCAGACAAGATAAAACACTGGGCAGAACACTGGACTTAAGAATCAGGAGAGGGCTTGAATCTTGAATCCTGGCTGTCACTTATTTGTAATGTGACCTGAGCAAGTGACTTAATTTTTCTAATAAGCAGATAAATACCTTACCTACCTCAATGTATAGTTGGGACAATGGCAACTAGGATTGTTTGATAACCTTTAGCATGATATAAATACACACTATACAAAATTTCACAAGGTATCAAATCTCTCTCCTCTGTAGCTAACAGCGCAGCCTCTGACCTTTCATTCTTACAGCAAACACAGTGATGTGAATGAAGGCTAAACCACCTGAAGCACGGGACCATGCAATTCCTCGAACCACATTTAATTCCCGAAATTCACTGGTCTTTCTTATAAAAGAATACCACGATTTGAAAATAATAACTTAAAAAAAAAGAAAATAATAACTTTTAATATGATGCTCAATATCCATTGGAAAGACAACTGGCTGACTTTTTGAACAGTAAAAACCATGGTAATTTACCCCATGACACCAGAAAAAACTTTTTGTGGACCACGGGTTCAAGGTAAAAAAAGAAACCACTGAAGTCCTAAAATAAAACATTTATCCCCTTGAGAGGAAAATAGTTTCTAAACAGGATTGAAAAGAGAGCATAAAAACAAAACACAACACAAATGTGCTCTTAAAAAATGTAAACTTCTATTTGAAAACATAATAAATGTTGTCAAAGGAAAAATAACCAACTGAGAAAAAGATATGCAACTTAAACAACAAAAGAGCTAGTTGGCCTTAATTTAGACTTTACAGACATCAGTATTTAACAAGCAGTTCACACAAAAACAAATTCACACAGACTGTAATTTTACAATATAAGTGAAACAACTACAAGATATTTTTCACCTATCAAATTATCCAATACTGAGATCTGATAATATCTTGTATTAGTGAGGGTCTAGGGAAGAAGAAAATCTTACTCGGGCAATATTTGGTAACATGTATACAAAATTAAAAACTCGAACTGTTTGACTCAGCCAATCACCTTGTAGGAATTACCCACAATGGATATACTTAAAAAAAGAATGCCCGGATCACTGTGTTTAATAACACCACCAGGAGTCTAATTCAACAACAGCCTGAGATACGTCTACGCAAGGCAATGCAATGTCGTGGAACTGTTCAAGAATGACGTACACGTTTAGATGCTAATATGAAAAGAGCTTCAAGATAGCAAGTGAAAGAGGAGGCAATGCAGCATGTACGTGTGGGTTACTTTTCCCCCTGTGTGCCTACAAAAAGCACACACATGCTCTCACACATAACCCAAAATACAAACAGAAATATTTTCTGAAAAAAGTGTTCTGAAAAGATAAGAAACTTACAAATGTATCTGCCTGGTGGAATTATGCAACGATTTGCTTTTGTCTTTCTTTATACCTTTCTGCATTAAACTGCTAATTCCTATTAATTTTGTCTTACATTTTTAAAGTAGACGATTACCTTGTTCAATCCGAGTGGCCAGATAGAGCATCTCACCCTGTGCAGCCAACTGGTGAACGGACAAGGCTGAAACAACACCGTAACAAGTGTCAAGGACATCTGGAGGGCACGCCCTCATCAGTCTGGCTCCTAGTGATGAACAATTGTATTTTCCAAAGCAAAAACGACCATTTTATTGTTTTAAAATACAAACTAAAGGCCAACCTAATGTTCTGTAGCTGAGAATTCTCTTCTATGTCCATTTAAAAGGATCTGACCTCTGCAAATTACTGTTTTCAAACTATTCCAAAGAAATGACTTAGGTGACTTAATTTTTCCAATGTTGTATATTACTGAATCCAAGTATACGAGGACCACAGTTCTAAAAGATACAATAATATTCATTGGTCTTTTTTACTGATTGAATGTACTGAAGCTCTAAATACCTCTATTTCAAGATTCTTTTTCTTCACTTTGGAAATAAAGTTGTACATGGAAAAGTGGCTTTATTGGTGAAAGTTTAGGCCTACCTGTGCCTAATTTGCTGTGTGAGCTTGGATGCATGTTTTAACACTTTTATTTGTAACAGAAAGGATGTGAACCAGGGGATTCTTTCCAACTAAAAAATTCTATGGTTGGATTGTTTTAAGAAAACCTCTTCAATTTAAAATAACACCAAACAGGTAGTTTCCTCTAAGAGTTGGCCTTAACAATTGGATCGTTTCATCACTGACTTCAGTGGTATGGCTGGGTGACCCTAACAGAGTAAGGAAAGCAATTGAGAGGCATATACAAATTAATATAAGAAATGGTCAGGCTGTGGTGGGAGTTGAGTTACAGGCATAGACTCTACCTGGCTCAACTGCTGCAGCATACTATTCAACTAACAGTGGTGTGTTAGTATGCGCAAAGTAAAGACATACATTCTACCATGCTTTAGAGCATAGCCTCAATTCCATGACTAACATCAAATTGCTAGTAATTGATTTTGTTCTTGCTTTTTCATTAGCATACTCAAACTTACAGATCATTTCTAATTTATATATAAAAACAATTTCATTTTCTTTCTTTTAGAGTCTACTTTTTAAATTGTGGATCCAAAGTTAAAAAAAAATATACCTGAACATTCATATTTTTTCAGATTAAAATTACAGCAAAAATTGCTCAACTTTCCCTAGGAAACAATTTATTGTTAGTGATCTAATTTACAAGTAGAATGTGACTCACTGTCCTCCCAACAAACATACACACACCTGAAATGTCCTTATCTTCACAGGTTCAGAGTAACTCCTGTTTTATAGTAAAACTTTAAGGGGTTAAAAATGAAAATTTCAATCCGTATGTGTGCTAAATGGTGAAACATTAAATAAGAAATACCATGAACACATATCACAATAATTAAAAAAAAGTTTTGGGAGGAGGGAGCAGGGAGGGAGGGGAAAAATGAGCTGATACCAGGGGCTTAGGTGGAAAGCAAATGTTTTGAGAAGGATGAGGGCAATGAATGCACAAATGTGCTTGACACAATTGATGTATGTATGGATTGTGATAAGAGTTGTATAAGCCCCTAATAAAATGATTTTAAAAAAAGTTTTAAGTTACCAAGACTATTGGGATATTACTGAAGTTTTCAAAAGGAGATAATAAAATGGTGTTTCACTGCCAAACTCTTGGAATAATCATATTACTAATATTTAGCACGTAAGAGCAACATGAATACTTACAATTTGCTAACAGAGGTGTTGTAGAGACCTCGTTTCCTCTGTGTTTGTTGGTTAAGGTCGTTGATTGTTTTATGGGTGAGAAGTGCTTGGTTGTAGAGGGGGTGTAGACATGTCTTACTTGAATCCCAGGAGAAGCAGATGTATGGATGGTGCATTCAGCTAATAAGTAAAATACATTGATTTAACATGCTTAAGTGACATTTTAATGACAAAGCATTTCAATAAAAGTTCTATGGTAGTATGTACATGAAAAGAAATGTATGAGGTATTAATAGCTTCAAATGATGTTAAATGATTTTTACCGTAAGTCTATACTCCCATAGAGAAAGTTACAGGGGGGAAAAAAAAGAATGGTAGAAATCTTGAACAACTTTATTCAGAGATTGGATCAGTATAAAACTAAATCTAGGAGTCTTCACTGAAGGATAATGCTAATATAAACTAAGTATTCATGAAATAGGAAATATTGTGCAAATATTTTTTTTCTCCAGTGATATAAAAAGGAACCTAATTGGAGAGGTTCTAAGTAAACAAAACTTAGACAAGAAATAAAAAAATAAAAAAACCCAATGCTTCAACATGAAACTTCGCTGTTTTCAGTAGCCCTACAGAGCAGAGTAGAACTGCCCCCAGGGCTCCCAAGGCTGTCCATCAGGACACAAGCAGATTGCCACACCCTTCTCCCTTGGCGCAGCTGGTGGGTTCTATTCACCTGCCTCTTTGATTAGTGCACAAACATTCTTATCAATGTTAATCAACCAAGGTTCATCTTGTTTAAAACAGATTTTTATAAGAGGGACCTCAAAAAGTTTTGTGGGAAAAGAAACGATAACAGAATTTTTCCAAAACTTTTTGGAGTTCCCTCTTAAATAACCTGAAAATATTTCATATCAGTTTCTGTGGGATTCCAGAAAATCATATTAAAAGGTGACTTCTAAACTCTTCCCAAACTCAAAATCTAATGATTGGGGGTGGGTAGTGGAGAAACTAAAAAAAAAAAAAAGCGGATATTTATACCATAACTTTCAACCTTTAAATAGGACAGATGCCACCTCCAGGTCCGAGTTAACCTGGTCTTGAATATTTTTACTATCCTCTTCATTTAAAGACTTCACAAATCGAGAACACACGTTCATATCAAATCGGTTAGGCAAGATGAATTTCATTCCCATGGCAACACCCTGAGCAGATCCAGCTTCAGAACTGGAGTCCAGGGGGTGTTCTAGCTTAATGTCCGGCATGCCAGGGAGACTGTAACTGCTGGGACATTCTTCTACTATCAGCTGGGCTCCAATATCCAGATTGGTTGATGTCGCCATTGTTTTGACTGTAGTTTCAATAATGAACACAGAACTTCATGACTTCCTCTTGGTATTCCAGCCAGTGTCTTCTTGGAATTTGGGTATTTGAAAAAATTCTGAAATACAATTTAAAAACTTATAAATACTATACCAACTTGGGTAATAATTTTCAATCAAGATTCCTCACAGGTGTCTCTGATATAACAGATATCAGAGGCATGCATATATAATAGACAGCCTACAATGTTCAAAGATAAGCATCACCATTCACTAGCTGTGTGAATCTGTACAAATCACTCCACCTCTCTAAACCTCAGGCCCAGTTGCATGGCATATCACCACTAACCTACCTGAGAGGATCCAGTCTCACCTCCATCACTCCAAAAACTACCAAACTTATTGCCATCGTGTCAATTCTGACTCCCACTGACCCTATAGGGCAGAGGAGAACTGCCCCTGTAGGTTTCCCTGACTACAAATCTTTAGGAAAACAGAGAGCCTCATCTTTCTCCCAATGGGTATCTGGTGGTTCTGAACTGCTGACCTTGTGGTTAGTAGACTCAAGCATTACTCACTATGCCACAAGTGCTCCTTCGGTTCCACCACATTTTAGTATTCTTTCCTCTTCTTTCATATACCTGAATATTGCTAAGTGGATAAAAGATCAGGGTAACAATAGAAATACATTTTTATGTGAAAGCTTTAACCATTTATCAGGAGTTCAATTTTTTTTTGAGGGAGGGAAGGTTCATTTATTAATATGTCGTATTTATTTACGTTGTTCTCTGCTCAAATTTAAGCTCTATCTCACAGTATAGCATGTTTAACTAGAATATCTATGATTCCTAGATAGTGAACAGCCGTACAAAGCTTTTATTCTGGTGAACTGGAGATAAATTAGTTTTTATTCGGATTAAGTATCAGCAACTCAATATAGGTTTTCATGGAAAACAAAGTATACAAATTATGGGCTGCTTCCTTTGCCTTAGCATCTCTAGGTCATTAAAGTCAATGTATAATTTTTTAAAACAGGTATCTTGACTTATAATTCACGTATCATACATTTCAATGGTTTACATATATTATAAAGAATTGTACATTCTCCACAATCAATTTTAGAAAATTTTCTTCAATTTTGTACTCATTATTAGTTCCCTATTTCCCCTAATCTCTCCTGCCATTACGTTAAACTATTAATCTTGTTGTTCTCTATAGATTTCCCCAACTTGAGTTACATATAAAGAAAATCATTTAAAACCAACAAAAACCCAGCAACAACAGAATAAAATACAGAAAAATCTCAATCTAAAAGGCAGCAGAAATTAATACAAACAAGACAAGTTAAATGTGGGTCAAAAGGAAGAGCAACTGGTGAGATGTAAATTTGTACGACGTCTGCAGTCATCCACCTTCCAAGGTACTCTGTCTGGGCACAAGCCTATTCACATCCTTGTTCAATGGACCGAGGGAACTCAAGAGGCTTAGTCCATGTGAGGGTCAAAGTATAATTTTGGATATCAATCTTTATAGTATTAAGAAATACAAATTATGGATGTATGTATGGATTGTGTTAAGAGCTGGAATAGCCCACAATAAAATGATTAAAAAAGCATACAGCTTCAAACCCACCCCCCCAAAAAGAAATACAAATTACTGAAGTCTTTTTTTCTTCCAAAGTATGTATTGTCAAGACATGAACTCAATAGAAGCTAGCTCTTAAGGCATAAATCATAGGCATATCTTTTATTGAATCTTTATTATTGTTTAGATGTGAATTTTTAGTCATTGTTCTGGCACTTCCTTATGGACTTTACAATAATTTCAAGAGAAACCATTAAAACTAAACCAAAAATCCTTAAATTCGCTGCCATTGAGTCTATGACGACTCAAAATGACTATATAGAAATGTCATTACCTAAAATGGCTTCTAAAGAAATCTAAGATATTAAGTCACTTAAGATAGGAAGAAAATGAATAACATCCCAAGTAATCTATTTGTGTTAGGCCTACTATTTCTGTTATAAATTCTCAGAGGCCATAGAGTGCTTTCTAACTGGAAATAATGGGGGATTAAGAGCTAGCAATGCCTTAGGATCACAGTGGAGCACCATTTAAAAACCATGTTCAGAGGCTGATCCCACAGCAACCCTTTGGAGGATGCTGGGCAGGGTGGTTATCACGTCCAGAGAGAGGGAAAGATGCCCACAGAGCAAGAGGGGGCCTGTGCGGCTCCTCCAACACCTTTATTCTTGCCATGAAAATGTTCCTGGGAGAAGTTGAAGACAAATACCAAATACTAAGAGAACAAGTAGCAGCAGGTAGCAACGTTGTTAATAGAGTCTAATGAACAAACGGATGGTGCAAAACCAGCAGAACAAGAACAGCAAACGTTTGGTGATTCCAGTGGCAATGCTGGAATCAAGGTACCAAGCCGAGAGCAATGGGTCTGCAAAAAAGGTCTCCAATGGGAACTGTACTTCCCAAGAGAACTACCCCTCAAAGCTCCAGGGGCCGAGAATTGCAACACTGAGCTCTCCAGCAGCTTGCATATGTCTATTTCCACATGTCTCTAGTGGAAATTTCCACTGAAAACGGAAAATTCCTTTAGAATGGAGACCATGCCGACTCACAGACCCCACGGGATAGGGTACAGCTGTGTAACTCCACGGGAGAAGAAAGCTGCCTTTCGCGCATCTTAATAGTCCCCTGGAGATGAGAGTCACAGTTATCGCATAAACCCAAATTTGAAGACAGGAATGGAGGCGTGGGGTGCGGTGGGGGGACTGACTGAAAAGAGGGCCACCTGTCAGAAAGGAGGAAGAACCTAAGGAAATAAAGCGGTAGCTGTGCTCGTCCCCAGCCCAGTAAACAGCAGCCGCGCCCCCCCTCCACCCCGCGCCCCTGCTTTCTAAATCTGGAATTATCCTACTTACTAGGAGAACAAAACCCAAAACCCCCAAGCGGCCCCGACGGTCGCTTTCCGAGCCTCAATCTTTCCAGGAGCAGAGACTGTCCATCTTTCTCCGCCGAGGGGCTGGTGGGTCTGCCCGCCGCCTTCGCCGTTACGGCCCAAGCCTAGCCTGGAGCCCTTGGGCGAGCAAGGTGCTAGAAGGAAGGCGGCCTCCCAGGCGACAGGTGTCCCGGCGCTCGTCGTTAACTCCGCCCGAGACTTCCCCGCGCGGGTCCGACACGGGGAAGCGGAAACGCCGGGTCGCCCGAGGCGGGCGGGTCCCGGGACGCGAGCGGGAGGCCGGCCGCGTCTGCCGACCACCTCAGGCGGCACCGAGCGAGCCGGGCCTTCGCTCCTGCGGGCACAGATTTCACCACACGTCTCCTTCAAGCCAGGGCTTGTTTGGGCCGCGACGTCACTTCCGAGTGGTTTCCCTTTCTGGCAAAAAGGCGTTCTGCATCTTGGCAGCTGGGCGGTCCTCCAGGGTTTCCCGCCCTCGCCGCGACGCTGCGCGGTACCCGCCGCCCGAGGAACGCCGACGTCCGTGCAGGATTCAGGCTAACTAGGGGACCAGGCTAGTCCGGCGACCCGGCCACGCCTCCTTCTTCCCCTCGCCCCGCCCCCTCCAGCCATCGCGTCATCTGGCGGCGCGTCTCGTGAGCACGGGCCTGTACGTCATCTTTACGCGGCGACTCACCCTTTTCCGTACGCGGTGTGTCATGGCGGCTCCTTAGAGGGTCCGCGTGAGTGAGCTAGATCGGTCCAGCGGACAGTCCAGCACAGGTAGGTGAAGGAAGCGTCCGTCGGTCCTTCCTGTGACATTTGTCATGCCCCTTGGGGATTTTCTAGTCTCCGCAAGATAATGGCTTAAATTCATTAACCAACCTCTCAGAATCCCCGCAGTTTCGTTTGATTTAACATTTCCTTCTCTACGGTCACATTTCTTTTACTGTCCATCGTAATCCGCCGTTTTCTAAGATACTTGACAAAAAGTTCACCTCTATCTTGGCTAATGAGGCGCCTTCAGTTTCAAATGGCTGCCCCCTTGTAGCCCCACTTCCCTTGCCCTCCCCTTCCGGTTTTGCGCCCATCTTACGTGGTGACTTGTAATCGCCTTCAAGACCCCATTGAAATGGTACGGGGCTTCGAGTCTTTATGGGAGGCTCCCCTGTTAAGATTTAGAATCTTCCTCTGAGTTGTTGCATCCTTCCATTTTACTCATTGCATTTATTTGGCATTCTGCATTGTATCGGAGTAGAATGTATTTGGTTTTACCCTCAAGTTTTCAGACTCTGCTGTCTTCCCGTTCTATCATTTTCCTCTTAATTATTTTCATGTGATTTCTTCGTGCCTTTGCACAATGGCCCGCCCCTGGGCTGATCTGTATTTCAGTCCGGCAAGCTACTGTTCCTCACTTCTTCGTTGTACAGACTTGGAATTATTTTGTCAGGAAATACTTCTTCACCTTAATACTGTATGCGATATATAAAAAAAGAAACCCTGCCGTGGTGTCGATTCTGACTCATGGCAACCCATCCTGTCAGACAGAGTAGAACCGCCGCATTGGATTACCCAGGCAGGAGCAGACAGCCTCATCTTTCTCCTGTGGAGCAGCTGGTGGTTTTAACTATTGACTTTAAGAACCCTGGTGGTGTGATGATTTCACATTGGGGTGCGATCTGCAGTCAGCAGTTTGAAACTACCAGCCACTCTGTGGTAGAAAAAGAGGTACAATCTCTGGAAATTTACCTGTCCTAAAAAGTCACTGTGAGTCGGCATCCACTGGATTACAGTGAGGAACAAACTAATGTTGGACACCAAATCTTACTGGCTTCTTGTTTTTGTGGAGCTAGGGAACTAATAGTTGTTTGTTTGTTTTTTACCAGTGAACAGTTGCAATCTGTTTGCTGTTAGAAAACACACACCTTGAATCCCCTTAAATGAAATGTCTTCATCCCCCCCACCAAGAATTCTTTACTTATACTTTGTATATAAAAGATTATGCTTGTTTTTAAAAATATTATTCCATCAATTAAAAGCTTAGAAAAGTTTCTTTGCTATTATTTGAGTACCTGTATAGCATTCTCCATTTTGTCTTTTGGCCCACAAAGCATAAATATGTATTCTGGCCCTGTACAGAAAAGTTTGTGAGGGTCTGCTATACAGTGTTGTTCACATTATAAAAGAGCCACAGCGTCCAGTAGAACTTCCCCTTCAGGTTTTTCAAGCAGCCTCCTTTCTCCCTCAGAGCCGCAGGTGGGCTGGAGTTGCTGACCTTGTGGTTAGCAACTCAATGTGTAACCCCCTACTCTACCAGAGCGCCTTTGTTCACATTCATTAAACACCACTTAATTTGCTATTTTCCTACTACTGCAATAGATGAGAGGGCTTGAATTGGGGCAGTTGAATTCAATGTAGAGAGGACATGGAATTGAGGAAGATTTGGAAAGTAAAATCAGAAGGATGTTAGAGTAAGGAGGAAGGACATGGCAAAGCAGATTCCCGGTTTCTAGCATCTGGTTCTCATCACCAGCAGAAATGGCAAATACTGATGTGTGCATCCTGTAAATGCTGAAATTGTTATGTTCTCATGTGGTCTGTGGAATGCTTTCTGTGGGAGCTGCACCAGCTTTTCTGCTTCTGAGTGATGCCCAGGGGTGTTAGAGGGGTAATAGCATCTTGGCCATGGCATTGAGAAACCTGTATTTACAGCGAAGTCCTGAAATTGTCTAGGCTTTTGTGAGCCCTTGCACTTCCCTCCTCTACTTTTCTCTCAATGAAGCTTATAGGACTTGCTGCCTCCCTTCATCTTTGTCTCTGCTCTCATGGTACCTTGCCAGAGAGAACTGCCCTGAGCACTGGATTAAAGGCATCCCACCTGTCATTTTCTGCTCCTCTTTTCTTTCTGATTTAGAGTTATAAAGTGCGTAGTCATTTATTTTTCTCTCACATCCCCACCCACCCCAAGAACAAAAGGAACATAAAGCCTGGAATTTTGTGAGGTTGGTTTTCTGCAGTAGCCCCAGTGTCTGTCAAAACTGTGCTTCTAAGTTGTGAGCTGGACTTTTTTTTGTCCTCTCTTGAAAGTCTCTTTAACCATTAAAAATGGAGAGAAAATGAGATATGACAAAGTATGGCTACAAAGTTTTGTTACATTAAATTTTTATAATTCATACTGTTAACCCACATACAAAAAGACCCCTCACTTCCTTTGAGAATGTGAACCCTTGGGTACTGATTCCTCCCAAGGCTGCCACATCTTTCACAAGTGGTACAGAAGTAAGTAGATGTGAAGGAATTTCTGAAACTTACTAGATCTCTTCAAGATAATGGATTGTATTATATTTAATTTGCCCATCCAGACTAGAATTCTACTTTTGGGGCCTCCAGCCCTCCCATATCCTAAGGCTGTTTTTATGGTTAGCACTTTACCAGATTAAAGATTAAGACATCTTAGAATTTCAATGCCTGTGCACAAGGGATTGTTTCATTGTGATTCATTGGGTTTTCTTGGGCTGTTTTATTGATTTATTTTTTGGCTGTAGATGACGGCCTCTCTGACTAGTCTTTCCTAGTCTGGCCATTCTGCTGAAATTTGATGGACGGTGCCTGTGCTTGAGGTGCACTGCCTGGGAATTGAACCTGGGTCTCTGGGGAATCTTAATCACAGCCCTCACAAAGAACACCAAGATTTTTTTTTTAATGAATCATTTTATTGGGGGCTCTTACAGCTCTTATAACATATCAAAGCACATTTGTACATATCTTACACTGTCTGCCGCCTCCCTTCACCCACATTTCTGTTAGAACACCAAGATTTAAACTTATCTGCCAGAACAAAATTAGTTTACTTCATGTGTTTGTATAATTCATTCCTGACAGAACAGCCACGCAGGCCTTTTGGAACCATAAAAACCCATCGTGTCACCTGGATTCAGTGTCATTGAGCCGGGTCAGACTCGCAGTGACCTGTACACAACAGAACAAACACCGCCGGTCCTGCGCCGTCCTCGCTGTTGTTCTTGTGTTTGAGCCCATTGTTGCTGGGTCAAAGCATCTCGTCCAGGGTCTTCCTCATTTCCACCTCCCCTCTCTCTAGTTTACAAAGCATGACCTCCTTCTCTAGGAACTGGTCTCGTGAGAACATGTTCAAAATATGTTCGATGACGTCTCTCCAGCCTTTCCTCTAAGGAGCATTCTAGCGGTACTTCTTCACAAACAGGTTTATTTGTTTTATGGCAATCCATGGTGCTTTCAGGATCCGTCACCAGCACTGGAGTAATTCCAGTGCATCAAGTCTTCAGTCTTCTTTATTCAATGTCCAACTTCCAAAAGCATATGAGGCAACCGAAAATACCATGGCTTGCGCCAGGCGCACCTTAGTCCTCAAAGTAACATCCTTGCTTTTCAACACATTAGAGAAGCTTCGTGCAGCAGATTTATCCAATGCAGTGTATCATTTGATCTCTTGACTGCTGCTTCTATGAACATTGATGATGGGTTCAAACAAGACGAAATCCTTGCCAACATCGGTTCCTTATTTATCATGATGCTACCCTATTGGTATTGTTGTGAGGATTTGGGTTTACTTTCTTTCCTCCTCCTCCTCCTCTTTAAATGTTTTTACTTTGAGATTTTTTTTTTAATCTGCAAGGTCATTCTCGTCGGTTCTCTTTGCACTGAGTTGTCATCCATCTCGAAGGCTGCAATCCTGGACCTTCATCAGCAAATGCTTCAACTCATACTCACTGAAAGCAAGGTTGTGTCATCTGTGTTTTGCAGCTTGTAATCAGCTTTCCTCTATTCCTGTTCCTCATTTGTTTCCATATTATTTGCTCAACATACAGAATGAGTAAGTATTGTGAAAGAATACAACCCTACCTCGCACCTTTCCTGATTTGAAACCATGCAGAATTCCCTTACTCTGTTTGCACAGCTGCCTCTTGATCCATGTACAGGCTCCACAGGTGCACAATGAAGTGTTCAGGAATTCTCATTCTTCTGAAGACTATCCATAGTTTATTATGACCTATACAATTGAATGCCTTTGCGTCGTCACTAAAACACAAATAAATATCTTTTGGGTATTCTCTGCTTTGACCCAAGGTCATCTGACATTAGCCATGATATCCCTTGTTCCATGTCCTCGTCTGATTCTGGCCTGAAGTTCTGGCAGCTCCCTTTCAATGGACTGCTGCTTGTTTTGTTGGATGATCTTCAGCACAATTTTATTTGCATGTGATATTGATATTGTTGTATAATTTGAGCATTCTGTTGGGACACCTTTTCTTTTTTTTTGTTTAATTGTTTTATTAGGGGGTCATACAACTCTTATCACAATCCATACATACATCAATTGTGTAAACCACATTTGTACATTCATTGCCGTCATCCTTCTCAAAACATTTGCTTTCCACCTAAGCCCCTGGCATCAGCTCCTCATTTTTTCCCCCTCCCTCCCCACTCCCCCCTCCCTCATGAACCATTGATAATTTATAAATTATTATTTTGTCATATCTTGCACTGTCCGACATCTCCCTTCACCCACTTTTCTGTTGTCCGTCCCCCAAGGAGGAGGTTATATGTAGATATTTGTAATTGGTTCCCCTTTCCAGCCCACCCTACCTCCACCCTCCCCGTATCGCCACTCACACCACTGGTCCTGAAGGGGTCATCCTCCCTGGATTCCCTGTTTCCCGTTCCTATCTGTACCAGTGTACATCCTCTGGTCTAGCCAGATTTGTAAGGTAGAATTTGGATCATGATACTGTGTCGGGAGGGGGGGGCGCAGGGAAAGCATTTAGAAACTAGAGGAAAGTTGTATGTTCATCGGTGCTACATCGCACCCTGACTGGCTTGTCTCCTCCCCGAGACCCTTTTGTAAGGGGATGTCCAGTGGCTTACAAATGGGCTTTGGGTCTTCACGCCGCACTGCCCCCCTCATTCACTATGATAAGATTTTTTTGTTCTGATGTTGCCTGATACCTGATCCTTTCGAGACCTCATGATTGCACAGGCTGGTGTGCTTCTTCCATGTGGACTTTGTTGCTTCTGAGCTGGATGGCCGCTTGTTTACCTTAAAGCCTTTAAGACCCCAGATGCTATATCTTTTGATAGCCGGGCACCATCAGTTTTCTTCACCACATTTACTTATTCACCCGCTTTGTCTTCAGCGGTTTTGTCTGGAAGGTGAGGGTCATAGAATGCCAATTTAATAGAACAACGTATTTTTGCACTGAGGAAGTACTTGAGTGGAGGCCCAATGTCCTTCTGCTACCTTAATACTAAACCTATAAATGTAGGCTCATAGATCTATTTCCCCATCCTCATATAACATATTTGTATATGTACATGTCTTTATCTAGAGCTCTATAAATACCCTTTGCCTCCCAGCTCTTTCCTCTATTTCCATTGATTCTCCTCCTGTCCCACTATCATGCTCAGTCCCCACCAGGATTTCAGCACTTCCTCTTTGTTACGTTCCCCTTGATCCTGCCCTACCAGGTCTCCCACACCCACCTCCCCACCAATTTGGATCGCTTGTTGTTCCCATGTCCCTGGGTTTGATTTTTATATTATTCTGTTACTTTAATCCAGAATTTAATTTCAGAATTGCTTTCCTCCTGTTTTCTTCCTACCTTCTAAACCTTTAAAATTATTTAATTGAAGCTTCTATATCTGAAACCAATCAGAAACCAAACTCACTGCCATTGAATCAAGTGTGACTCCTAGCGGTCTTAGAGGACAGAGTAGAACTACCCCCGTGGGTTTTGGAGGCTGTAAATGTTTACCGGAATAGAAAGCCTCCCCATTCTCACATGGGCATCTGGTAGTTTTGAACTGTTGGTCTTGTGGCTGGCAGCCATGTACCACTGCACTACCAGGGCCCCTTAAATGTCTGTTTGGATGTTAGTTCTGCTTTTCTTTCTTGGCTTGGTTTTCAGGCTTTCAGAAAGTCAAGTCCTTAGACCACATTGTGTGTTAAATGTCACCGCAAGTTTAGTTTCAGGAAACATTTGTACTCGCAGTTTCACCTCTCACCAGACTCACGGCTGTGGAGTCCATTCTGACTCATGGTGACCCTATGGGGTAGACTAGAATTGCCCCAGGAGTTTCTGAGATGGTAACTGGTTACAGAAGTAGAAAGCATTATCTTTCTCCTTCTGAGTGGCTGGTGGTTTCCAACCGCTGACTTTGGGGGTTAGCAGCCCAGTGCGTAACCACTACACTTCAGGGTTCCTAAAGGGTCTTTGTGTCGGGGAGGGTGTATATGGGGTGTGGTGTGGTGGAGGCTGTTCGTTCCTCTGCTAGTGGGCTGCTCTGGTTTGACTCCCTGAAGGTTGGACCAGGTTGAGGCTGTTTTGGAAACTGGTCAGGTGGGAGAACATCTGTGTTCCCCTCCGTGCGCTGCTGAGCCTACAAGTTGGCAGCCCTGCCTGTGTCCTATCCATCCTGCTTCCAGTTTAGACCAATGTTTCTCCACCCATGGATGGCACAGGAACGATCCAGGGAGGGGGTCAGAGAAGCAGATACCTACACTTTTACCTGGATAATAAAAACAAAAGTTTTTCATTGCTGGGGGGCACTGGGTAATTTTTTTTTTCTGGAAAGGGAGCAGCAGGCCAGCTAACTCTGGGAACCTGTGCTTTAGTCGATCTGTTCTAGATTACAATTAGGGACTGCACTCCTAGTCGGTCTGTTCCAGATTACAATTAGGGACTGCGCTCCTAGTCGGTCTGTTCCAGATTACAATTAGGGACTGCGCTCCTAGTCGGTCTGTTCTAGATTACAATTAGGG